TTGAAAGGGTTGACTCGATGATCTTGAGTTTTTGGTTTATTGGGATCTTTGATGGGTAGGTTTTAAGGTTTGTATTGTAGGAGTTTGAAGCAGCATTACTTCATGTTTTGGTCAGTATACTACTGCTTGGATTGAAGACTATCTTAATAGGGTTTTAATTAGTAATCGTTAACACCTGATTTCTGTGGCAGTGTTAACCCTTTGCACTCGACTGTCTCCTCTGAAGCGACAAAATGAATGTAAAATTAGAAATTCCGAGTGCAAAGGGTTAACACTATACTTGTCGGAATTTATATTACTAGTGATATCGGTGACAATATCAATAAAGATGTACAATCGTATAAAGTATACCTACGTGATTTCCTGCTCAAAAGTGTATCGGTATTTCGAAGATTCTCAGCGTTCGAATGATTCCCAATATGTATCGGTTGACAACCACCCATACATCACCCAGATTCTCAGGGCCAACTGTGCCTCGGCTCATCATCCGAACGAATGAGCACCGTGGTGCACGACGAGTGAGTTCAGCGAAGCCTCAAATTCGCTGTCTGCTAAAACAATCGGGGTACGCCACGTTCGAATTGACCGTGCCCGTGGATCAAGTATACACTGTGGGAGGAGGGGGAACGGGATGACTCCCGGACTCGAATTGTAACGACAAGGAGGCGCGGGATCAGGAGGACGGAGAGATGAAAGGAGCCGCGGAAGGCTGGCGGAGGCTTCGCGGTTGATTAAACCGAAACGCGACCACGAGGCAGGAGGAACTTGAACGAACTGATGTGCGTGAACACACACAGGTATACCTTCACATATGTATCTGCTGCTGAAGGGAAGATGGCGCTGCCGTCAACGAAATGGCTGCACACCTTTGCGCGTTGATAAAAGCGCGCGAACCCCGCGACCACCCTACCTGGAAAGGTGTGCGCTGCTCGAAGGGCGAGCAAGGGGGATGGATAGATCGTACGAACGGTAGGGTGAGAGAGAGAGAGTGAGAGAGGAGAGGGACGAAAGAAGTCGGATATCACCCCTAGTTACGAGTGGTAACGAGGGGCGGAGTCGTGCGAGCCGCACACCTGGCTTGTTTCGAACTGGCCATGGTCACTCACCCTTTTCCCCCCCCCCTCCCCCCCCCCCCCTCTGCCCTTGGTTTTGTCCACCTTAAAGGCTACGCCTTGACAGACGCGTTTACGTTAAACGCGTACGAAGGGGGAAGAGACTCGCTGGGAATGGCCGTTTCGGTGGGCTTTGATGGTCGATCGCTTCTGGTGCTTCGGGGGGTGCTTGTATCTTATTATTGGAAGAGTTGTTTTGACGTTAACACCGTGGGGTGGATACGTAGTGTTATGGGGGTAATTATTTGTTATCTCGTTTGGGGTTGTTGGGTTTGAGGAGGAGTGAATGTATAGAGGATTTTGGGAGGTCTGGGTTTGGGGAAGATCTCGAGGGAGGGAATTTTAGCTGTTAGGGATATTTCTTTTTTTTACAGTTTACTGACCGGAAGCCTGTTGATAGATTTCATTGCTTGTAGATAAGGGGCCTATGAATTTACCCTTAGAACGGAGTTAAAGAAGGAATTGTTACGTTATTTTATGGAGCTGTTGCTATTTTTTATGATTGTAATTTGTTACTGTGATTGAACTGTTTAGTAATTTGTAGTGACTTGGCTCTTTGTCGTTGGATCTACTAAACCTATTAAATAGCATCCGGTAGGAAGTGTGTTAATTTTCATCTAATATTAATTCTAATAAATTTGTTTAGATCGCGTAAAAATTGATACTAGAGTAATTAGAACATTGACGATTTTTGTTTAATGAGTTGTTTCCGCCAGTGGAACAAAGGAAGCGAATGTCACACATTAAATATAATTCACTACGAAAATCTACCCGTGTACAGACTCACCCCCTCGAAAAAAGCATTCATCGAATTTCTTCTGAAACTCTTAGCAAAGTCAAGAAAGTATGAAACTCAATGGACACTTAATGTCAAATCCTTTAACGCAATCGTGTCTATGACGCGAGGCTAGAAAGGACCGTCGGAAATGCAGTTGCGCGCGTGCGATCGGTAGGTCGCGTATGTACCTTCTACAATGCAATTTCTACATACGACAGACGACAGGTCCGTATTCCCAGCGGCTTGACCATGCCAGCCGGCGTATTTAAAGCTGTCGAGGATGCCGGTGTTGCGGCGATATCGTGGAGGCTGGGTGAGAGATAGGACATCGGTCGGAGGAACGGCACACGCGGTGAAAGAGAACGAAAAACTCCACCGGTAGAAAGGGGAACGGTGGTGGATAAAGGAGAACGATAGAGAAAAGAGGATCGAGGGTATAGGTAGACGCGGAAGAGGCGGAGAGATAGAGACTCGACACGCGAAGGGTTGCGGGGGTGGGCTGGGGGGTGTGGAGACGGAATCGGTAGAAAGCAGCAGCAGCAGTTCCCGTTCTCGGGGGCGGCTGGCTGTTATCATGAGAAACAAGCTTCCACTCTGATTTTTTAATCCGATCCGCGCCCCCTGCCACCGGCTGAATTTTAAAATAACTGCAGAACGCCATTTGCTCCTCGCAAACAGACCGGGGTTAAGCCATCCTCTCCTCTCTCCTCGCCCTCCTCGGCTCTTTCCTATCTCTTCTTCCTGTTCCCATCTCCTCTCTGTTTCAACGGCTCCCAGGGTTTCTCTCTTGCTTCCATGGGGGCTCTTTCGCTCTCTTTGCGCGCGTGCTCCTCGCACACAGCCTTCGACCCTCCGCGTGCCCCTGGATGGATACCACTGCGGCCATGGCTGGAGAGCAAAGGGGAGGAACACCGCGGGTTTGGATGGGGGTTGGAGGGGAGAAGAAACGCGCGTGTGAGCAGGAGCAACGTCTCTCTACATCCCCCCCGATAGAAGCGGCTGATGCCAAATTGAAATGTTTAGCGCCTCGTTTCAGCTGCTGCGAGTCCCGCGCGCCACCGTCGGGAGAAACAAAGACAGATGGAGGCCGCGAACGGAACAACCGGTACGGAAAGATAGGGGGGTGGGGGGGGATAGAAGGGAAGATAGAGGAGCGCCGGGGAGATACCCGCGTTGTAGGCCTGCCCCGGGGAAGGGTAGATAAGTGACAGTTTTATTAATTTCCCATCTCCGCCGCGCGGCCACCCCCTCGATCCACCGACACCGGGAACCGTCACTCGCGCGCGTCCACACCCGCCCCCCCCCCCATCCCCCTTTCCCCCGATGCTATCCCTCCTAGTCTACACGGCTGGAACGAAAGAGGGTGAAAATAAAGCTCAATAATGGCGGCTACCCGTCACGGAGCCCTCGACAAAGGTGCGCTTCCGAGTCGACTCCGAGGGGATTTGGATCAACGATATCTCGTCGTTCAGGATGTTGCTTCGTGACGGCAGGGGGGTGGGATTTTTCTGGAAATGGTCGGAAGTTCGATACCGTACATCGATGTGGTTTCGAAGTTTCACCCTTTTAGACATCGTAGACCTGGCTCTAACTCGATCTTTTGATGTCTCCTGTTTGGAGATCGGTATTCTGGATTGAAGTTTCGGTACCTGTGCTTCCTTAACTCGTGCTTTGAATATTCTAACTAGTATTTTGATATGGCCTGAGCGATTTTTATCCAAGTTCATTTCTTTCCAGCAGATCTGGTGGAATCAGAATATGAATTTATATAACCATCACACCAGTGGTACTTATTATTATCCTCGGTTATTACTCATCTTTAACAAACATTCCGTCCAGTACCATCTAAGAGCCCAGTATACCGCGTCCACCGTAATTGGATGTCTAGGAACGGAAAGGGGTTAAAGTAAGAAACTCATGCGGGAGGGTAGTAACAGAATCATTCGGTTGGTCGGTGGGGGAAAAGGGGGGAGAGTTAAAAATGTGAAAAGAGGACCGCAACGAAGAAGAAGGGAAGTCGAGTGGAGGTGGAACAAGGGAAAAAAACGTAAAGAGGGGGAGTAAGCATCTCCGGAGTCCTCGGAGTCGGGCCGCGCCGGTGGAAAATTTAATTTCGATCCCGTCGATTCAGCAGTTATACCGAAGTTTAATCTTTGATAAGGGTTAGTCTTTTAGTAATGGGATCCCAGGGGGTCGGTCGCTCTGGTCCACGCTGGGCGAGGCGCGTGGGGGGAAGAAGGAGGAGCGAGGGGGTGGGGGGACACTCCGCTCTCTCTCGACTCCTTTCCACTCCACTCCTTTGGCCAAGGATGGAAGGAAAGGAGCTTAAACCGTTAGATAGAGATCTGCTCTCGGGATGAAAGTAGTAGCTACCCGCTTATATCGTTCCTCCAACCGAGCAGGACTCGGACTTTTATACCAGGGGCAAAGAGACGGGGGGGGTGGGGGTGGGGGAAGGCGTAACGAGCCTCACGATTGGATAAGTTTCCCGACACGAGCTTCCACCCGGAAGCTTTGCCATCTTCCTCGTTTCCTTCATCCACGTCCCTATCTCCCCCACCGTCGGCCGCAGCTCGCGGTGTCTCCTTTATCCAGTTTGCTCGTATAACGTATCGCGACTTGTGTACGTCCCCGACCGCCTTATATCCGGGTCACGTGCATCCTACGACGATGAGAACGGCCAACGTCGAAGGACTTAATAAAAGGATAGACTCCTCCTCCACTTCCTCCCATCTCCCTTACCCCTCTTGCTCTCCTCACGGAGCGTTTCCATTAAAGACATTGTTCAGTTCGCCGCCTCGATTCGCTTCGCGATATTGGGCACTTCTATCTTTACCGAGCTGAAGGTTAATGCGTTCAATTTGGGGCTGGACCTTGTCTTTACAGGAATCGAGGAATGTTAAGTTATTTTATTTATACATCCGTGGGGATACCGGCGATTTCTGAACCGTTCGACGTGGGCGTTCGGATAATGGAGATTCTACAGGCAAGAATAGTATTGGGAAATATTTTTTTCTCGGAACTAATAATTAAATTCATCGACTGCAATGTTCATTGAACTTTCACAGAATTCTGTTACTCAACGAACGTCCTTCCTTTGTGTATTTTAGTTATGGTATGGACCTCAATGGCGCGAGACGGAAAAATGCAACACGGGAGACAACGAGTACACTGAAAGCCTGGTTGAACGAGCACAAGAAGAACCCGTATCCGACCAAGGGAGAAAAGATCATGCTGGCCATTATCACGAAGATGACGTTAACGCAGGTGTCGACGTGGTTCGCAAACGCGCGGAGACGTCTGAAGAAGGAGAATAAGATGACGTGGGAGCCTAGAAATAGGGTGAAGAGCGTGGACGAGAAGGATCGACTAGGTGAGTCTCGGCTGTTTTCTAAAAAAAAACATTCAAAGTTATAGATACATTACAGTAAATTCTCGATGAGTCTTCGAAGGCTTCTCGCCACCGACAAGGCAATATCCCCATATATTAGGAGCTTTCGGACACTAATCGTGGATAAACTGTACACGGAAACTGCCTTAAATTAAATTCAGCGTACTATACAAAATAACCGTATCTTACGCAGTATCGTTCTCCGTTTCCTCGAAACAAGAACTCATCGTATCCTCGAGCCCAGTTCGTCCCCTAAAAGACGAATTCCCTTCTCTGTTCCAGACTCCAAAGATTCGGGTACCGGTTCAAGCGAGGACGGTGAACGACCCGCGCACCGGATGGAGCTGCTCGGTACCAGCGGCGGTTCCGGCGGTGTGCAGGGTAGAACCGAGAGCGAGTGGAGCGAGTCACGGGCGGACAGTGGCCCGGACAGTCCCGAGTGTCTGTACGACCAAAGGGAGCCCAGGCATCCCCTTCAACTCCAACATCCCGCGTATCTGGCCTCCAGTCACGGTCGATTGCTGCGTCATCCCTCGCCGGAGAGCACGTCGCCGAGTAGTCATCATCTTCCGCCGAGCACGAGTGCGCCGTCGACCGTTAGCGGGGTGACCACCAAGCCGAGGATCTGGTCGCTCGCGGACATGGCGAGCAAAGACGGCGATCAGCCGAGTCCAACGCCGACGACGGTCACCGGGCTCTCGTCCCCTTACAGCGGTAGCAGCGGGGGCGGCGGCGGTGGCAGCGGTGGAAAACTGGTGAGTCCTCTGGCGAGTCGTTTGCCACCCCATCATCCCCTGTACCCCGCGATGCACACGGGAACGCAGTTCGTCAGGCCGCATCCGGACTTCTATCGTAACCTGTACGGCGCCTCCCATCTTGGATCCGGCGATATGTCTCTGTTGGAGACCTACTCGAGGACCCTGGGCGGGCTAAGCGGCGTAATGCCACCCTCGACCGCCCCTAGCATACTGACGTCCTCCGTCTCGACGGAGGCCGTGGCCACCGGCACCGTGAAACCGTTCACGATCAACGGATGCTCCGGCCTGTCCCCGTCCTCCTCGTCGACCGCTTCGTCCGGCGGGTCCGATCAGTCGCCCCACCCGAGCGGCGGCCTGCCTCCGACGCAGGAGCTAAAGTCCCCGGGCCGGGGGGTGTGATTCCGCGTGGACCGAAACGAATTCGGAATCGATTAGATCGCGAACTTGGAGGACGGAATCGCCGCGCTCGAACGCGGCATCTCTGTGTGGTGTGGATGACAATAATAAGAGACTACGATCTTGTAATTAGTGTACAGTAACGGACCGAAGAACGACAGAACGAGATATACTGCCCCCAGCCCCCGTTAGTCCTTCTCCTTGGATTCTCTGCCTATTTCCTAGTCTCTTCTTCGGGTACCCCCCCCTGCCCCTCCCGTCGGTCCTTATCCTGGTTCTTCCTGATCTTATTCGTCACCCTTCGTATCCCTCCCTCCACGGTCCTCTATGTCCTGGGAATCATGAAATCTCGTAGCCCCCCCCCCTCCCATACCCTCCTTTCCCCTCACCGTAGCAGCAGCAGCTATATCGCGGTTTAAAAGAAAAGAAAAAAAAGGAAAAACACTATCCTAGGCGTCGACTCCGACAGTAATATTATACATAAAGTACTATATATATAAATACACGATAATAATAATAATTATTTATGCGTTTGTAAATAGTAGAGAGGGCCCAGTAGAGAGCGTCCGGCCAGTGTATGTATTGTATGTAGACGTAGGTAACGATATTATTATTAATAATATTTGAGATCATAATTCATACTAACGACGAACGATGATTATTATTATTATTATATGATTATGATTATGATTATTATTATTGTTATTGCAATGTTTATAATATTATCGATTCACGTCGAACTCGGTCGATCATGACGAGGTATGGATCGTTGGATCGCTGGGGACGGATTACGGGCGAACAGCCGGTGGATCGACGTGTTTGATCGACGCGAGAGACTCGGGTTCCCTCCCTCTCCCCCCGTTCGTAAGTATTATTTATTTATTTCGCTCGATCACGCTACCGCCCCGTCTGAGAAATCTGAGACTCGTTGTTTCCGAGGCGAGGCGCTGTCGACGTCCAAAGGATCTCTCCTCCTCCTCCTTTTAATTTTTCCTTTCATCTATTTCCACTGGTTCACACACGCGACCGGGTTCCCCCGTCGAACGCGCCCAGATTCGTCCGTAATCCACCAGAACTTGGAATGCCCGTTGCGCCCCGCTGTCGCGAGTGCTCTCCCCGAGCTACTCTGGGAGAGCTCACAGAAGACACCATCTACGGAAGACGTACTATAATAAACAGAATCGAAGAAAAGGTCCTGAGAGAGAGAAAGAAAGAGAGTGAGGTGGGTCGCGACACCAGGCTGGGGCGCAGCGACCGTCAACATATCATGTCATGTCGAGAGTGAACGATCGCCATCACCTTTTAGTCATTCGTGTCCAAAATTTCACGCGAGCTCGCTGATGCCACATTGGCAGATGGCTCGCAGACTGTGTCCTTTCGCAATAAACGAATCATTATATAAAAAAAAAATATACAGTTGGAAGCTTCGTCATTCATTCGCCCCCTTTCCTCGCCCCATCGGCGCGTTTGATCGATCACCCTTCGATCGGTGAGAAAAAGAAGCGACTCTGGACGGAAAAGGGTGAGTAATCTTGAAGACAATGTTCCCGGTTTCTTTGTTCTATTGTACGTTGACGTGGAACGCCTACCGGTGCCGTTAGAAAGTTCTATACCGAGGATTTAATTTTTATGAAATTGGTTTTTTTGCAGTTTTTTTTTTTACCGTAATTGTCTACTTCGTTTTATCTTGTTCCATGAGAAATAATGTGTGAAAGTAAACCTGCGAAGAATCACGTTCTCAGAGTATTATGATAGTTGTCCATTAGATGATCTATCTTCCTTAAACCATGCGCATGGAACGATAATCTCTACCTAGTACGACAAGAACAGTCTTCGTTGTACGTATTATACGGAGCTGAGAAGTTGCCAAGCGGAAAGTTATCCCATTGCGCTACATCCAATTAGAGCCGATTGCCATCTTCCCAGCTCCCATTTTTACATGCAAACATAAGCCGTTCCGTGATGATATTCACACTCAACATGACGAAGAATATCATAAATAAACAATCTCCGTCCTAACAAAAATCCATAGGAAGTGAAATGATCCTAAATCCCTCATTAACTTTATAAAACTTCTTCGGTGACAAAACTGTACTTACATTGAAGTAAAAACTATTCTAGGTATCCTAGCTAATTTCTAGGTCTTCATTCACGAAAGCTAATTCACATTATGCCCATCGTATCTCCAAAGACACTAAAATACAATCACCGTGTTCCATCCTCCGCGCACACGATCAACGAAACACAGATACTCGATTAACAACCGGTATATACCGTGCTCGTCCGCGGAATCATTATGCCGTTGTCCGCCTAATCGCGGGGCCCCATGCATCCCGAACGTAGGAGACAATACGCGGGACCCGGGGACCGTTCCTCCTCCGTGCAACGCGGGGGACACACAGGTCCCAGCCAGCCGGTCAACGGCGGGCGGCGGGCGGATGAATATGAAACGTCGTCCCCCCCTCGTTCTCGGAACCCTGCCCGTAAGATGTACTTATAAAAATGCAAAGCGACCGACTTCTGGGTGGTTGCGGGACAAGCTTGGTTATTAGTAAACATTTAAATCGACAATCGCTATAGGTATACCCAGGGACATCGGAGGGAATGCCAGCTTGTTCCCTTCTTTGCCATCTCACGGGCTACGACTACCTCTGTCGTTGTCCCACCCGTTGTTCCCTCCGTCTCTGTTCCGTCTCGCACGGGCCCGGATAGAAGGAAGGAGAAACGACGACGCCAGGGCCCGGAGGATCGGTCGTGGTGGAGGAAACAAGAAATCAAGCCGCGGGACCACCCGCCACGGCCTTGGGGGCACCGAGCCGCGGATCCCAAGGAGGTCCATCCCGTCTTCATGAATCAACCTCGTTCCTGAATCGGCATAAACCTTCAAAGGGTTGTGCGGGTCCGTCCTTCTCGTCCCCTCTCCGATAGATTCCCCAGAGTTATGCGGACACCCGTGCCCCTCCTGGTGCCCCCTGATCGTTCCCGACGTTGGACTTGTGGCTTCCACGGACGTCCAAAAACGGGACGCTTCGGACCACGGGAAGTCAGGGGGAAATCGCTGTTGGGACACGGCTCGAATGATATTTCAATTTCGATCTTTCTGCCTGACGTATCCAGTCGACCATAAATGTTCTCCTCGACAATTGAATTGTCTACATGTGACCGAAGAATACCGTTTCTATACTCGATCGGGTTTAGTTTCTTGCCCGGTTGCTCGAACGGTACACGTTGTTGTTTCTGGGTCCATCTACCGTACTTTTTATTAATACTTCGTACCTTTGGATCACTTTCTCGAATTATTTTTATATTGATCGTATCGAATCAACAGTTTCGTTACCTTATTTGTAATATCTAGAACTATATATTACAAGAACTCCCATCTCAGACAAGAATTTCAAGTACAGCCAGTAGGATAACAATCGGTTCTCCGGTCGCGTTCACGGAGTCGAGCTGAATTAATTTGTCGTTGCGCATTACCCCCGCGGGGGTGGCGTAATATACGTCTAATTTTAGAATTACAAAAATGTGTTACGACGCAGCGTTAATGCGGCGAACGGCATTTAAATTGCCCGGTAAACTCGTTTTATACCGCCGTAAAGATACCCCCCCTGATGTGGAAAAATGCAGGTGTATATATACACGGGACGCACGTCGAAGGCGGCGTTGCGTATCCTGTCCATGGGCGACCAGTTACCCCGGTCGCAGATAAACCGACCCATTACCAATATAGTAGCCCAGTTGTAAAATGATCGTGTCGCGGAGGTTCCGACCGAGACAACACTATCTACCGCCAACGGGGATGCAGTTTTTAGCGGCGTTAACCGTGTAACGGGGAGGAACGATAATCGACCGCTTATCTCGCGAGTACACACGCGGATACTGTGGGAACACCCTTAGAGCGTGCTGAGAATCGATGGAACATACGATTAATGGCTTCCCATCGTCCCATGCGGTCTCTGTAGCCTGTCGATCTTTCTGACATTTGTTCACCATCATTCTGGGAATGAATTGTTCAGCTATACAGAGGCTGTATTTTTGGTGGCAGATTAATTTCAAATTTAAATTCTTTGGTGTGTTCACCAACCACTTTGTACAATTTAACTGCGATTCTTGTGCTGAAAGCTTTCTTTGCAAGGGCCTGGTACTTATCCACTTAATTTATTTGGAAAGTTCTACGAACACTGTTGCACTAGAGTTCCGATTGGTCGATCTTGTATAATTGGTTTGTCGAGCAATTGTCCTGCAGTTATGAAAGTAGCAAGGTATTGTAGTAGGAAAATAAACGCAGCTAGAGGTATCTTGTTTCGAGAAATCCATTGAATCCCAATTCCCCGTACCTCCAGCTGACACGATTCTAGTTTATTCTAGGTTATCGAATCAAGTTCAAATCAAGAACGATGCTACGTCTAACTAAATCAGAGAAAAGTCCATCCAATGGACCCAGGGAATCGCTAGATCCTGGACGTCTCGAGGACTCTCGCCGTTAAACTCCCACGTTTCGAGAACCAATGTTCGTTGTCAGGCGATAAAAATTAAAAGCCGGTTGTCGAATAACAGAAGGGATCGGGTCGCGAGGTCCTCGAACCCGTGGTTTCCGCGGAATCCTCGTAAGTCTTATCCGAGAAGGACACTGCAAATGGGCGCGCAGGTTGGCAGACGGTCAGCCCCGTGAGACGCCTCTACCGTGATCTCCGGGGGAACGGCGATAAACTATACTAAACTGCGCGCCTCTCGTGGCGATGCTTTATTGGCTTTTATCGAGTTTTAACGCAAGCACACCGGATTCCTTTATGGAAACGCCGTTAATTTTACGACGCGGGCATATTTAGCCCGCGGGCGTCTCGTAAAATCATACTTCGGTCGCGATAAAGTTAAAACATCGGCAGGCTTAAAGCAAAGTTCGCCTCGTAAATATAACGGGGGAGAGGAGGAGGGGGTGCGGGAACCAAATGGCAAGCTCTCGGGGATCGGTTGCAACCTGTGTGTATACGTTTTAGCGTTGA